CTTTCAGCTCATCTGCTTTGAAGAGCCCTGTTTTTAAAGGCAGCATATAGTATAAGAGAGAGAAAAGGGCTTTAGTGTCACATAGACCTGGGTTTGAATTCTACTTCTACCACCTACTTTTGAATTTGTTTCTTCTTTTGTAAAATGGGATAATACCATTACCTAGTAGGAATTGGTTTAGAAGACAACATATGCAAAGAACCTTGCTGTACATAGTAGGCACTAATATTATTTTTCTAGCTTCCCATCTCTGTATCAGACTGCATTTCCTAGAGAAGCCTGGACTTCTTTGCCACTCAGCAATGATCCTCCAAACATTGTACACACTGTAGGACACAGTTTCAAGTCTACGAAATCTGCTCACCCAGTCTCACTGGCCTTTTAAAGAATTCAGAAAGCTCTGTTAATATCTTCTTTTGAGCACATTCATGTTCTACAAACTGGGGTAAGGTAATTTACCCAGGAACCCACAATATAAACCTCTAAGTTCTTCTCCCTCTTGAAGGTTCTGAGGATACCTAAGATGGAGGGCTGCAAAGCAGTCACCACAGATGAAGATGAAGAAGTCTTCCATCAACCAAACTATAAATAAGGAATTTCATTCCTTCTTTGGATTAATGTCTTCTCTGTTGGTAATACCAAATGCCCAGTGTTTATAGTTTACTGGCTTTGAGTCTAATAACAGTATTTCAGAGTATGTTAGGAATGTACTCTAACCCGTAAGTGCTGATCACTAGTAGCAGAGCTCAGGAACTTTTTATAGTAACATCCAAACCCATTTATCTCAATTTAACTAATTCTAAGGAACAAGTTTTTTCCATTGTGATTCCTCCAGGATTTACATTAGAATTCAGTTCCCATTACCAGTTCTTGCTAGAAAGGACACTAGAGAGATGAAAGGATGATGCTCCAAAGGTACAACTTACAAATCAAACAATAAAAAGAGGCTTAAAACATCAAGAAGTGCCCTCCTACCCTCATTAGGTTAGAGGGCAAAGTCTAATGCTGGGTCCTACGTAAGGTTAACAAAAAATACCTGATAATGTGCCAACGATTAAAGTACACCAGAGGAATATATTTGCTGGCTACCGCTAGAGGTAAATCTCACAGTAGCTTTCCAGTTGGCTAAATAAACAAAACAAACAAAAAAATGGCATGTGAGCAAGCATGGCTGCTTCACATCGAACTTGGTTAGACCTCCTTAAACAGAATCCTCAGAGGATAAAAGTAAATATCTAACTTCTCGAATACAATGATAAAAATTTTTGCAACAGCCCAATCCATTAGACATACATTTCATTAATAAGATGTCATCTTTGTCATATTAATCACTCTCCAATGTCTCACTGGCAAACTTAAGGCAGGCTCAGTTCATTAGTTCACCTATATCATAACACATTCCTAGAGTAAGGTGGTACTTGAGAAATTGGGCTTCTGGCCTAGAAACTATGTCCTGCAGAGGTAGAGATAAAAGACTGCTATAAAGAGTGACTAGTTCATAAAATTCATCGCACAATTTCTGAAGAGCTTTCATGGACTTTCTTCTCACTCCAAGAGTAGAATGACTAAATCAGTAAACAAGAGCATGTAGCCCCCTTTTCTGACCAATTTTAACAGCAATGAAGTTTCTTGGATACATTCGTGAAAATGAAAAATAAAAGTCTTCAATATTATTACAAAGATAATCTAAAACTCACTAGCATTTGGCTCTAAAATGAAGATATACAGTCACTACCTCCATGCCTGTTGCTAATTCAATTAACTCAGCTGCCTGGGTTCCAAATGGGTGAGGGCAAACAACAGATTATTTTGGCTCACTGATAATCTGCTTTAAAATAAAAAGTTAATTCAATCTCAAGAGACTTAAAAACTAACTGTAACACCAATGTTATGCAATAAAAAGTTCTGTTTGGATACCCCTTTTCTCTTTTATAATTTGGACATTTCCTAGACACGTTTAAAATAACTTTTCTACAGCAGAAACAACCCAATAATAAATCTATCTATTAAGCAGAGTTTAACTAGTCACTTCATGATTTTAAAAGCTCGTAACTCACCTAATAGGATACAGAACCTAAAGCATGAAACTCTGAAGATCTGTCTTCCACAACAGGGCATACTTCTCTACAGAATGTCTTGTATAGAGTCCCTTTGGCTTTTGGAATGCCAGTATTGTTTTAAACTGGCAACAAAAAGGCTGCTTTCTTTTAGCTGTCTCTGAAGACAAGCTTCTGTCTTAGGTTGGTCCTAATGAACAGTAAGGACCATGGCACTGGGACTGATTCTTATACATTTAATAGGCTATATGAAATGCCCTGCCAGGTTGGTGGTGGAAACGAAAAAGTCACAAGCATACCTAGCCTCCCACCCTAGCCATCCAAGGAAATACTTTCTAATGAGATGTCACAATTCTTAACACCTAAAACCCTAAAATATAAAAATATCTTCAGAAACATAAGAATTTTAGGGTTGTGGTCCACAAAATAGGAATACCGATTCACTGTATACACAGATGTCACCTGGAGCATAAAATGTGAAACTCTTCCTGAAGGTTAGGGGGAAGGGGATTCTTATCCAGCACTTAAAGAAATAAAGAGGCTGGGCGCGGTGGCTCACGCCTGTAATCCTAGCACTCTGGGAGGCCGAGTCGGGTGGATCACTCAAGGTCAGGAGTTTGAGACCAGCCTGAGCAAGAGCGAGACCCCATCTCTACTAAAAAAAATAGAAAGAAATGATCTGGACAACTAAAATATATATATAAAAAAAATTAGCCGGGCATGGTGGCGCATGCCTGTAGTCCCAGCTACTCAGGAGGCTGAGGCAGAAGGATTGCTTGAGCTCAGGAGTTTGAGGTTGCTGTGAGCTAGGCTGACGCCATGGCACTCTAGCCCAGGCAACAGAGCAAGACTCTGTCTCAAAAAAAAAGAAATAAAGAACAAAGTTATTCCTCTTTCAACATATTTCCTTTTCTCCTCCCATCCTTTCCCTCACTCCACATGGATCTTCTGATCTCATAAAAATAAAAATACAATCTCAGCGGAACTTACCCTCACCCCCACCCTCACAAGTCTTTATCTTACAATAGAGAATTTAGATTCTAGATGATGGTAATGAAAGTTGGTCAACCCTAAAATGATCACTGGTCTGAATGAGTAAAGTTGCCTTTACCACAATATTATCAGTGTTTTCTTAATTTTCATGAGCCCTTGCCTCCTCCAAAAAGATGTGGAAGAAAAGCCAACAAAAGAGGGTTTAAAATTATTCATCTGTGCTGTCATATTATTAAGACGGTCCACCTGTGAAGACAAAAAACAAACTCTGCTTTCCTAACTCCCTAGCCCTGATTCACTTCAGAAAGGAGTCCTTTTCATGGTCTAGTTCTTTGACAATCTGTTCATGATGATCACTGTGGAGCCCAACATGTACTCCCTCCATGGCAAAAAAGAAAGGCACAAAGGGCAGTTACAGCAGAGGTAAAAAATGTTGCAACTGCAAGGGAAGGAATTACCACACTGTCAACTCTGATCAGGTGTGCTAATAGATAATAGAGACCATGAAGAAGAAAGCAATAACAAAATAAATTGATGTTTAGTTTAAGAATGCATTTAGAAATATATATATACCAACATCTAATATTCCCTCTGTCTTCTAGTGACTAACTCCACCAAACTGCCCTGAATCATGTTCAAAAGACAATCCTAGGTGGGCACTTACAATGCACACACCTAAGCTGACCAATTAAAAATGCGTTTTAAAAATTAACCAGGAAAATGTGTTCTAAAGGAAAATGCAAAGGAGTGTAAACTAAGGTATGATTTATTCAAAGCTATATCAATGTTGTGCCAAAAAAAACCCAGAAAATATTGTTTGAGTGTCTACCATACGCTAGGCATAATCTAAGAGCATTATATAGGTTTCCTCATATAATAGTAACAATAACTTTGGGAGATAAATAGTATCCCACTTACAGAGTTGTGAAAATTAAGAGTCACAGAAGTTTAAGTAGCTTGCCCAATGTCACATGGCTAATAAATCTTAATACAGTATTTAAACTCTGGTCTGTCCATCTCTAATGACTGTACTTTTCTCTTTGTATCTTTTTGATAAATACCCACCATCATCAATAATTTTATTCCAGTCCACAATGAGCATTTTCAAGTCCAGGCACTACAAGGAATAAAACTTAACAATGTCACTTTCAACCTTTCCCTACTACAAATCATAAAGATATTAACAATTGGCCATGCCTACTTTCCAGAGCCACTCAGTTCTTTTGTCACATCCCATGAGCCTCTATTCTCTGCTACTAGAAACCTAAGAGCCTTACAAAAACTGCATTTATAAGTATGTTCTGACTCCTTTTTTGGCACTGTTCCATGCTGCTAAATGCACAGGATGATTCTTTTGCTAACCAAGAATTCCTCAGACCAGCTACAAAAGAGCAGCTATTTTACTTTTTTATCCAAAATTTCCCACTATGTCCTGAAAAGTTGGAATTCTGAGGTGGATTGGACTCAGACACCAACTAAAGGCGGCATCACTTTCCAACTTTTAGTCACAAGCAGCTAAATAATCTCTCAATAGCAAGAGGTGACAGCCCAAAGTCATTAGAAGGGGAAAGACCTGATTTGACAAAAGGCTGAACAGAACTCAGGCAAACTAATTCCCAGCGTTCAACAACATAAGAGACATGAACTACACAAAGGCAAACGAATAAAAAGGAAAGAATGAGACATGGGGTGGGGAGCACACATTCACTTCTAGGCTTAACTCAAGTCATTTGAAGATACACAGCAATAGTTAGGACAGAAAGACAAGAAACCCACAGCCAATTAAATTTGTAAAAGTAATTTAACCAGAGCTGAAACAAAGCCAAGAACAACACCCAAACTGTTTGGAAAACTGTGATAGGAATTTTATGACTTAAGCGTCAGCACTTGAGCATCAGGGCAGGGTCTGTCTTGAACTCAGGAATTTAAATGCCTTCAACTCCCACTCACCTTTCCTTCTTTTATCACTGAAGTAAGGCCAGGCTGAGCTCCTGAGAAAATAGGTCTGTAGATTCACTGAAGGACTGAGAAAAGTTAAAGTTTACATGGCAAAGGTGTGTCTTCTACTAACATAATAAAAATATTTATGAACACGTTTCAGTAGTTTTAGGCTTCCTCAGAACTATTTAAAACCAGAATAATTTATCTAATTCTCATCACTGAACAAATACCCCACACACATAAGGAAATAAAATGAACCAACACGAGGATTAGAAGCCAGGCAAGTAATCTCCCAGCTCCACTAAAACGTAGAAGTCATTTTAAAAGGAAAACCTGAATCTTTTCAACGCTAAACCATAACCAAACAACCTCTCAACAAGCCACAGAGCAAGGGGGGGAAATCCTGGAGAGAATGTGATAGCGCTAGTGCAGGTTTGTTTACAGACTCCAGTAACAATCATATGAGTCAGAAATTCAAACCACCAGATGCTTTCCAACTAACAGGGACCAAATGGGACCGTTCTAAGGTGCCCAAAAAGAATTGGGAGTAGGGGGAGGTAAATTAAGAAAATTATATCACAAAGGGTACAAGACCAGATGACAACAACTGACTCCGGGATTCTTGGACCTCCGCCTTCCGTACAAGGTGCTGGGCCTGAGAACTTGGGATGGGGGAGGGGGACACACTGCGCGGTGGCCCTGAGGTGACGGGCAGACGCTGGGTGAGCCATGTCCCTCAATCTAAGGGGAGAAATGGGAGCACACAAATAGGTCACCCGACGAAGCAAGACGTCCCTGTGAACTGTGGGGTTGGCTCTTGGGGGCAACCCCAGAGCTGACCTGAGGAAAGGGCAACCAGTCCTCCCGGCGATAACTCGGGTCAGGCGAAGGAGAAGACCTGAGCCCTAGGGCTTAGGAAAGGGGTCAGGCCCATCCTGAGGGGGAACTAGCCAGGGAGAGGGGGTCAGGCCGAGCCGGAACGAGACACGGACCGGGTAGGTCAAGGGGGGGGGGTGTCCGGCTGGGGCAGTTACAAGCACGGGAGCCGGCGAGGCTCAGCAGCCCGCTTCCCGTCTTGAGTCATCCTTCTGCCAGCGGCTGCTCCGACTGTTCCAGGCCCAGCCGCCCCGTCCACTGCCACCACCAACGCCGCCGCCATCTTACACTGGCCAGCGGCCGCCACCACCACCGCCTCCGCTCTCTGCGCTTGCGCCTGCGCTGCCACGCTTTCCGGCCCCGTTTGCGACGATGTGCTCGAAAAGACTGAGGGAGAGTGGTCGCGCGAACTCCCGGCTCGCAACCCGCCTTGAAGGACGCATAAGGGGCGGGGCTTAAAGCCAACGGAAAAACAGAGCAGGGGCGCGTGCGCATTACCGAGGAGGCAAAGTTTGTGATACGAAAAACAAATGCTGGTTAGGAACGTCTCAGAGTTGTTTCTTGAAATAAACTTCATTTCCAAGAAACTGGCAAGGAACTTCCTGCGCGACCACCAATTTTGCTGTTTTTTAAACACTGGGAACGAGCAATTATTGCCAGAAAATTTCTTCTGAAGTACCCCATTTCCTTTCAGGACTTTTCTTTCCTTAAGAGGTTCATATTATATATCATCGAGGACTGCTTCCCCTGAGAGCCTCCATTTACCCATTCTTAAAGTAGGGGCTCAGAAACTTGACGTGTAGCAAAGCTATTGAAGAGGCTCTTTCTCCAAAGAGGTGTGGTGTGAAGGTTTCCAAGAATGGGTTACATGATGTAGGGTGCCTTTTGTAAATTTGCTTCATTCTGACACCTTAAAGGAAGCATGCGGAGAATTACTCCCAGCTGCCAGGCTGGGGGATTTTTTTTTTTTTTTAACCAGAAAGCCAGGGTGCAAGAATCTGACCTCTTACCTCCTCTACCGCTGCCATCCTATTCCAAGTCGTTATATGTTACATAAGACTACTGCAATAGACACTGAGCTGGTTTGTCTGCTTCCATTATTGCCCTGTTTCAGTTAAACATAGGACAGCGGAAGTGACATTTTAAAATGTAAGTTAAGTCACATTATTCCCCCCCCACATGGCTCAAAAACCTCCAACAGCTTTCCATCACATAATAAAAATCAAAATTATCACAATGGCCTCGAAGGAAGGCCTACATGATCGACACCTATTTCTCTGATTTCATTTCCTCTCACACTGCCTAGCTCTGCCCTAGGCTCACTGGGTGTCTAGCTGTTACTCCAACCAAAACAAGTCCCAGCCCTAGGGCTTGCTTCCTTTTCTAGGCATGTCCATCTACTAGATCTTTACTAGACTTGATCTTTCCCCTTAATCAGGTTTCTGTTGAAATGCTACTTCGTAAGAGAGGCAGCTCTTGACTATTCCAACTAAAATGGAATCCTACACCACCATCCCCCTCCATCCCCTTAATTTGCATTGTTTTTTTCATAACTTTTTTTTACTATGCCATTTAACCTACAATTATATATTTGTAATTGAGCTACACTACTAGAATATAAACTCTTGAGGGCAGGGACTATGTCTTTTTAATCTTTGTAACCTCAACACTTAGAAGAGGGCTACAGCACAAAGCAGCTATTTAATGCCCAACCATCCTATTCATCCTTTTATTTACTCTGTCAACAACTACTTATTGAATTCCTGCTACATGGGAGGCCCTGTTTTAGGTGCTGGGGCTGCAGCAGTGAATACAACAAATCAAGATTCTTGCATCCATGGACCTTATTAGTAGAGGGGTTAGGATTGTGGAAGAGAGATGCACATAGACAATATTAAGTGATGAAGAGTACTGTAAAGGAAAATAAAGCAGAAAGCAGTGAATAAAAAGTATTACTGCAGGGGTTGGGAGTGTATGGGGAGAGCAACACACAGACAATAATATAAAGTTACGGAGAGTACTGTAAAGGAAAATAAAGCAAGGTAAAACTGGGTTACCAGGATGGGTGTGCTCTTTTACATAAGTGGTTCAGGGAAAGACTCCCCCTGCTGAGGTGACAATTGAATAAAAGATCAGAAGTGAAAGAGAAAGCTATACACACTTGGAAAAGAACATTCCAGGCAGAGGGAATAGCAAAGTAAAGACCCTGAAGTTTGAGTGTCCTTGACAAGGAAGCCAGTGTGACAAAAGAACAGGTAGGAAATTAGTTTGGAGAAACAAGATGGGAGCCAGATCAGTTATGAACTTGTGGACCAAAGAGAGGACTTCGGATTTCATTCTAACAGTTCTGGGAAGCCATGAAGGGTTCTGAGTAAGAGTGACATGATCTGATTTATAATTGAAGAGGTTCACTCGGTTGATTGTTTAAGAACTGCCTGTAGGGAAGCAAAACAGAAGCTCAAAGATCCGTTAGGAAGCTATTGCAGAAGACCTGCAAGACTGGTGTTGCAACACAAGTGGTACCAAGTGGCTGGATTCAAGAGATACTCTGAAAGTGGTATAGAGGGCTGGGCACAGTGGCTCACCACACCTTTAACCCCAGCACTTTGGGAGGCTGAGCCGGGGGGATTATTTGAGGCCAGGAGTTTGAGACCAGCCAGGGCAACATAGTGAGACCCAATCTCCACCAAAAAAAAAAAAAAAACTTAGCCAGGTGTGGTGGTGTATGCCTGCAGTCATAGCTACTCGGGAGGCTGAGGCAGGAAGGTTGCTTGAGCCCAGGAGTTTGAGGTTGCAGTGAGCTATGATGACGATACTGCATTCTTGTCCGGGCAACAGACAAGTCTCTGTCTCAAAAAAAAAGTGGTGTAGAGATGACTTGCTAATTGATTGAATGTGGGGTGCAAGATAAAGACAAGAATCAAGGATAGGATGTCCCAGGGTTTTTTTTTTTTTTTGGTTGAATAACTGGATAAATAGTAATGCCATTTACTGAGATAGAGCACATGGGGGGACAGTAGCAGGTTTTTTGGGAGAAACATCCAGTTCTATTTCAGACACGTTGAACTGGAGATGCCTATTAGATTTCCAAATAAAGCTGCTGACTAAACAATTGGAAATATGAATCTGAAGCTCACAGGAAAAGGGACAATTGGATGTATAAATCAAGGAGTCATTAGGTTATAAATGGTATACGGAGCCAACGAGTGGAGAAAGCTCACTTAATGTGGAAAAGAAGCAGTCTAAAGACTGAGACCTCTAATCCTCAGGGATTCCAACTGATAGCATTCAGAGAGGAGGAATTCCAGCAAAATTCCAGCAAAATTTATTAGTAGATGTGCTGCCAAAGCAAGCACAGAGCAAAATTTGTTAAAAAGGAGTACCCTGGAAATACGAAGAATAAGAAAACTCAAGAGAGTGAGGGGTCCTATAAAACAAACCAAAAAAAGTTTCAAGGAGTCACTATAAACAGCATCATTCCTGCTCAAGAGACTGAGGTTAAGACGACTAAAAACTGGCCACAGGACTTGGAAACGTGAAGGTTAAGACCTTGACAAGAGCAATTTCAGTGGAGCTATGGGGATAAAAGCCTTCTCTACGATCTGGTTTCTGTACTCATTATTTTGTCGACACCATTGCTATTACCACCAAATCAATTGTCATTACCACTAAATTCTCTTTTTTATTTGGGCTTTCCTATCAAATTTGAGGTGTGATGATTATTGACCATTACGTCTCTATCTTGTGATACTCAATCCCACTGGTTTCTGTGACACTATATTCCATGGTGCCATTTCTTTTTCTCTGACCAGTTATTAGCTTCTCTTTCAAGCTTTAGACTCACATACCTGGTGGCCAGTGACACTTGTTTTATAAACAACTTTATTAAGGTATGTAATTCACATACAGGTCATCCATTTAAAATACACAATTCAGTGGCTTTTAGTATATTCAAATACGTGCAACCATCGCCACAATTTTAGAACATATTCGTCACCTCAAAAAGAAACCTAATATCTTTTAGCTATCACTCCATCCCTATCTTCCCATGCCCCCACTCAGCCCTAAGAAACCATTAATCTACTTTCTGTGTCTATAGATTCTCGTATTTTGGACTTTTTTTTTTTCAAGACAAAGTCTCACTCTGTTGCCCAGGATAGAATGCCATGGCGTCAGCCTAGCTCACAGCAACCTCAAACTCTGGGATCAAGCAATCTTCCT